GGTAGTATTGCCATTTTCACAACATTAAGCCTTCCTATCCATGAATCTCTCAGTTTTTATTGGTATATTGTTAAATCCACTGTACTTCTTTTGTTTGATGACTATTTAATACTCCTCATATCCCTTTAGCAGGAACTGGTCTAACAAGCTTCTCATATCCTTGGATCAGAAGTGACATTTTTCTAAACATTTTCAAAATGGTCATTCCATAAAATCATTTATGATTGTGTCAGTCTAGTTCCTCCTTTTCTTTCCTGTTCTACATACTAATTCAAGCATGCCATTTCAATAGTATTCTATATATTCAATAGTATTCTTATGATATACATGTATGCATTCATTAGTATTATATTTTAGACAACAGAGTAATGGCATGCTGTTAATATTATTAATGATAGTTTTAATTCTTTGAAATTCTCACTTTTGACCAATTCAAATGTGCTTGCAGGATGATGTACAGAGGTATACTTTTTCCCACACATTACTTTTTCACAGACATAGCATCACGTAACTTCTCCATATGCTTGGTGACAAATGCATTACTTCCAATTCAATGCCATCATAATAAAGTCAAGCTACAAGACCAGTCAGTTGTCCCGCCTATTTACAAACCTGCACTTCCACTGCCATTGACAGCCTCCTTATCCTCATCTTCTTCCTCTTCAGGAAGAGAGCTGTCCATTCTTTCCATCTTGCTGACTGAAGTCGTTCGTTTCCTTTGGGATTCTGTGTCAAACTCATTATCAAAGAGGACTTGATCAACAGGGTCTGGCTGGAAAGGGCTAGGTTCTGCTGGAGGCTTGGGTGTTCCATAGAAGTTTCCTGAAGTGAGAAAACAGCAGGTGAAAGTACACATGTTGAACTCAGGGTCAGAAAATCATGGCCTATATCTTAGCTACCAAAAGCCAAAAGGAGACACAGACACTAGCCTCTTGGGGGTGGGAAGGTGGGCAGTGAAAGGTAGAAAGAGAAAAAAACAAATTCTCAAGTGCCTACAAGACCAAAGGCATCATCAATCATTATCTAACATCTTAACAGTATTCTGGCTAAGCCCAAAGAGTTAACCTTATATATGTAGACTATTTATCCCAATAGGTTTGCTTTTACATGGGTTTGGAACTAGGCCTCAATTTGTTTATATGAATCTAAATCCATCAAAGTTCTCAAGTAAAACTCAATGGTGTAACAAGTGCAAGTAAAGGAGGAGAAAATGAACTGAAGTAATTTTGTTCTAATGTGAAACAAAACTCTTTAGCAAAATAAGGAAATACAGGGGCAGGATAAAGCAAAGTGCTAACTAAACCAACTTCATTTTAGTTTGTGGTAAAAAGGAGGCTGTTTATGTAAAGGTAAGTTTTTAAAGTAGCATTATTACTGGATAATTTAGCTACTGAACAAATAGAGAGCTATTATTATATTAGTAAAGTATTTCAACAATGACTTACTCTCAGAAAAGAAAGAATAATATGCTAAGTCTTGCAGATCAGTAATTTTGAACCAAAAAGAAATATTCCAAGATAGAAAGAAATCAAGTGAATATTCTATTTATTACCTAATTGCTGTTGTTTTTGTTGTTGTGTGCTGTAGATTCATAACTGACCTGTAGCTGACCCACCAGTGGGTTTTCGGAGGTAGGTAATTGCAAGAAAGGAACCATCCAAATACAATGGGAAAGGTTCAACAGGTCTAGCTACATAAAGGTTTACTAGAATTTGCTGGTTTCAGCTTTATATCAACCATTAAAGTTACAGAAAGTTTAAAAATTGGGAGTGAAATACTCATGATTTTTTAAAATAGCATCTGCAAATATAATTCTTTTGTTTCTAAATAATTAATTAAGATGTTGATTCATATGAAGTAAATTGTGAGGAAGATATTTGAATTTTTTGTCATATATAAACAAAAACATAGCTTGTTAACCATTAACATTGACACATACCTAGAAATAACCACTTACACCTTAATTCACATAAGCTCTGAGAGGGCAAGCATTAAGATGAATTGTTTTTTTAAAACCTGACTTTGAAAGGTATTTGCCATCTTAATAAATAAAAAAAAATAATGGAATCAAACAAAAACATTTTCAATTACATCTTGAGTCTCCTCTCTTGCTTAAAAAGTGATGTCTGAAATGCTGTGCAGATAAATACAAAATTCCTTATTAAAACAGTTTAAGAATCTCTGCAAACTTTCCAGCCCATAAGTAAAGAAAAGAATCGATGAAAACCACTTGATGCTTCATGGGGCAGAAGATACAAAACCACTCCAAACAAAGGTTTGGTGCCTGGACTCAATTCAGGGCCCAGGCGCTCCCACAGGCAGAGTAACACCACCCCACAGGGCTCCCAAGCCAGGAATTGTAATCTTTATAGGAGCAGATGGCCAGTAGATCTATGTATCTATCTATCTATCAGTTCAAATGTATTATTTTATGTTTTCTGCTGGACATTCAACCACTGCACCACCAGATATCCTTGGAATGGTTAAGGAATAACATATTCTAGGCCCTCAATTCTTTTGGGTGATAATTATGCCCGATAATCAAATCGTTGAAGAAACTAGATGGGACTGGAAAGTCAACATTTTCTAAAGATGGGAGTAATATTACCACAGGCACAACATTTAACTGTGGATTATGAGTAATCACTAATTCTAAGTAGTTTAAGATTTTCTTCCCTAAGGTGAAAAAGAAGGAAAAAATGCCAGATACTGTGATTGCTAATTATGATCACTGATAAGGTTTTAGGATTTTAATTTCTTAAATATTCAAATATATGTAAAATTAGAGAGAATAATATTAGAAATATTCTTTATACCTTTAGCTTTTTCATGATTTATTTTCGATTTCTTTCTAAAGAAATTTTTTTGGGGGAGAACATGACTATATGAACACATGTACAATTAAAGTGCAGACTCCCTGTGCCTGGTTTTCTCATGCTGTCCCTGAAGTAACAACTATCCTGAGGTTGGTATGTTTCAATTTCCAACATTTTGTATACATCTAGGATATATGCATAAATATTTATAGCATACACACAGCTGTTTGTCAAAAGAGCGTCAAAAACTTTTTTATATCATTCCAGATCTTTTTTAAAAAACAGCATAATTTTGAACATATTCTTTTGGAATTCATTTTAATATAAATTTATTTCTACAACTTCTAATTCATTCAACTACATCTGCCTATTTTCTGTGAACAAATAAAAATGTGTTTTATTCATTGCCTACTAAAGGAAAGTTGTTCTAGAGTCTCACAGTTTTAAAGAGTGTTTTAATGATATTCTGGTACATTCTAATATGCCTATGGGCAAGAATCTCTCTAGAATAGGTAGGTAGGAAGGGAACTGTTGCATTATACTCAGCTTCAAACGTCCTTGGTTATTGTCAGATGCTTTCCAGGGGAATTCTATCAGTTCCTCAGTTCTCAACAGCAGTTTATGAGAGTTTCCAGTTTCTCACAAATCAAACCATACTTCCATCTATGTTGTCAATCTAAATGTTGTTTCCATTTACATTTACTTTAGATTTACTAGAGTTGTGTATATTACAGTTAGTAATATGTAATATACATATCTTTATCCTATATAAATTTCTAAACCTTAGGGGAAAATGGACAAAGTGAAGGAACATACAGTTTTCAGAAGTTCAAGAGATTAGTAAGCATATGAAGATACTCAAACTCTTTGGCAAACCAGTGATACTAAAATAAGAATGAGCAATTATTTCTACAGCCATTAGATTGGCATAATTGTAAAGCTGGATAATACATAGCATGATCCAATAATTCTGCTTTTATGTACAATGTCCACAGAAAATACCACAAAAGTAAACAAAAATACATGTCTGAGAATGCTGATTGTAGTTTCCTCTGTGGTGATGGGATGCTGGAGGTATTGTGGGTGTCTATTATTAGGAGAATAATTAAAGTGCAACGGATGGATAAAACAGAATATTTTGCAGATATTAAAAGCAAATACAACCATATGGATAAATCTAAGAGATACAGTAAGAAGTAAAAACAGTAAAAAAAAAAATTAAATAGACACAGTACAATGCAAAGAATACAAATATGCATAAAAGATACAATATATATTATTCAAGAACCTATATAAACAAAGACATACACATCAACATATCATAATAGTTGTCTGTTATACAGAAAAGGGGACTGAGAATAGGCCATCTAAAGTACAAATAAATAGTTATCATTTGAGAAGTTTTTGCTGGAGACTATCTAATTATAATTTCCTTATATCTTTGCTTTGTTTTCTCCCTAATATTTAACTCAATTAGCATTTATTTTATGAATTTGCTTTTTGAGTGTCTCTCCCATAAAATGTAAGACTCATGAAGATAGTATCGTGTAATTCTGTTCAATACTATAACTTTAGCCTCTCTTATAGTGCTCGGCACACAGTAGGTACTTATTAAGTGAAGAAAGGTCAAGTAAATGAAAAATGAGTGAGTAATGGGAGCTAAGATCAGAATGAGTAGCAGTCCAAACTCAGTAGGGAAAAGGAAAGCAATGAAGGTTCTGCATAGAAGAGAGACATGATCAGAGCTGTGCTCAAGGAAGACCAACATGGTGACAATGGGCAGAGTAGATTGGATTAAAGAGAAGAAATTGTAAATGAGATGTAGTGCATAATCCAAGCAATAGGTGGCCCAGGGTGCTTACAATGACGAGGTAAAAATGGGGAAAAACCATACTATGAGAATTGCTGCAAAGGAAGAAATGATTAGACCTGAAACTGACTGGATGATTATTAAGAGAAAAAAAAAGGAGAAGGAAATGATGACTCTCCTATTTGGGCTTATGATGCCACTACAGATTAGAAACAATAAAATCACTTATGGCAAGAAAAAAATAAATGCATATTTGGATATGTTGTATTCAAACTAAGCATTTATGCCACACTATTTCTTGGCATTGAAGATAATATCCAGTAAGACAGACATGATTACTGCCTTCACAGAGCCTGTAAATAGGTGATTAAAATAGCATGATGAAACAATGATAGAGAGCAATGAGGGTTAGGGAACTAGATGAGCTTTCTAGTGGTGAGTGTATGATAGATCGTGAGAAAGGAAGTGGAGACAGAGAGAGATAGATCTAATAAAGAATTACTTAAAAATTAAGTGATCTTGGAATCAAGAAGAGGAAACAAATGAATGATTCTAGTCTTCCTTTACTGTCCCTTCTCCAAAAGTCAAGATACAAATAAATGTTATCAGAGAAAAATGATTTTGGATTCCCAGATCACAAAGGGAAAGCAATCAAGAGATACTTGCTGAGTTAATAAGATGAATTTGAATTCCTCTAAAAACTTATAAACTGACCATATGAACTGATATTTTTATATTCTGTTCACAATTTTATAATATGACAGAATGCTTCTGATTATTGTTTTGTCCAGTTTTACATTAGTTAATTATACATCTCCTAATCAAAAGAAATTTCTCCCAGAGTCAACAGAAAACAAACTTTTTAAAAAGATAATTTACTGATCAAAATTTCTTTGAGATAATTTCAAATCATCTAAACAGTTTTCTGGGTTTCTATTATTGTTAGTATTTGGGGACATACCATCATACGTTCCACTCTCTAACAATGCTCCACTCTCTTCCAGGGCTTTGAATTGTTCAACAGAAATGAAATTATAGTCCACCCCTGGTACTTCCCCATCCCTGGGGGCCCTTGTAGTGCCTAAGAGGTGGGAAAGAAGAAAAAAAGGTTGTAAAGTACTTTTAAACTTACAAAATATTAACAAAAATTCATCTATCTATCTATCTATCTATATATATAATACATGAGGGAAACAGACTATTAAATATTTCTGCTACAAAAAAGATCAGAATATTTTAGGCAGATAAACATTACTAAGTGAAAGTAGGACAAAAAATAATGTGGGATGAATAAATAAACCTTAATAAAGTCTACTGATAATCACAAGATTCAAAACTACAAAGACTTTTTATGTCTCTAAATACTAAAAGAGCTTTAACCTTCTAACAAACATCAGTTAATTATCCTTTAAAAATCAATTAATTACTGAACAGTAGGAAGAAGTGATAAATACACCTCTGAAATAATTTCTTTTTATGTAGCTATTCTATGTATTTTTTTTCTTCTCCAGCTGAATAGTAATCAGACATTCTATTATTAAGTTAGTTTAGTAGAATTTATTATTAACCTGTGGTCACATATTGATTATGCCATTATTTTAGACAAACAATAAAAAGCTTATAGTAGGTATTGCTCCTTAGGCATTGTTCTCTGCAAATAATTTTTTAAAAAATAAGCTGTTTTATAAGACTACTACAGCTGATGAATAAATTTCTATATATTAATGAATTAATTCTATAGTAAAATCTTTCAAATCCAAGGTTATGGAAGTACTACTACAACTGAATGCATTTATTTACTGAACGAGAGTCATTTTTATGACTTGATATTATAAATGTCATTTCAAATACTATAGAATATTAAAATATCAGTTATTTTGTCTGAATTTGGGCATCTGACTCATGTTGTTGTTGTTATGTGTTGTCAAGTTGACTGAGAACCATAGCAACCCTATGTACAGCAGCTCTGAACCTTGCCCTGTTCTAAGCCAGTCTCACTAATTCTGACACACCAATCCTCAATGCTCCAGTTACTGTATCAATACATTTCATCTGGAGTTGTTTTCTCCTGTCCTGCGCTGTCCCTCCACGCTTCTTATTCTTTTTTTTTTTTAATAATTTTAATGAACATTTACAGAGATTTTGGATTTCCATTCATTCATTGCTGCACTTCTCTCCCTGCCCAACCCCCTCCCCCCTTCTAAGTATGATGTCCTTCTTCAAGGACTGGTCTCTTCTGGTCATGTGCCCCAAGTATGTGAGAGGAGTTTCAAAGTTCTAGCTTCCAAGGAGAAACTTTGTTTCATCCTCTGCAATTTGTTTTTATTCAAGACTTTTCTCCAGTATCACAATTTGAAGGTATCAATTCTTCTCTTATCCTTCCTCATTATTCAGCTCTCTGATAAATAGCAAGTAATGCAAAGACCACGGCTTGGATCAGGCGCACCTTAGACTCTAAACTGACATAGCTGCTTCTCAGTACTCTGGAGAGACCCCTGACAGCAGATTTTCCCAATGCAATTTGTCTTCATTTCCTGACTGCTGGTGTTAAGAGTGTTGACAGTGGAGCCAAACAAGCTATATAATTGTTATCAACCTCAATCTCTTCTCCATCTATTATGGTGCTGTTAATTGACCCAATGGTGAGAATCTTTGTCTTTTGATATTCAGCTTTAATCCATATTGAAGACTATAGTCTTTGTCCTTCTCCAGCAAGTGCATCAGGTCCTTCTCAGTTTCAGCCAGTAAGGCTGTGTCATTGGCATAATTTAGGTTGTTGATGAGTCTTCCTCCAATCCTGATGCCACTTTCCTCCTCATAAAGCACAGCCTCCCAAATGATCTGCATATAGATTGGAAATAGGATGCATCCCTGCGCACACCTTTCCTGATTTTGAATCATGCAGTGTTTCCCTGATCTGTTCTGAGGACCGCTTCCTAGTCCTAGTATAGGTTTCACATAAGTACAATCAAGTGTTCTGGAATTTCCATTTTCCTCAAGGTTAGAGGTAAGTCCTTAAAAGGAAACCTCCCAAACTCGTTCTTCCCCTTATTTTTCCGATTTGGAAAATGCCATGCCAAGCCAGAAACACAAGCATCTCAGTCACCTTGGGCTCCTACTTCTCCTTCACATTCAGTCACCAAATTCATTTGTGAATTTGTTACCACCTCCAAATCCAGTTGATACTTCTAGAATTTAAATGCTTCTTCTCATTCTCACACTCATCTAATTCTCATCATTATCTGTGCTTTATATTGGTGGTCTTCTCAAGCCAATCTTTTCTTCTTCCAGTGACCCTGAGAACCCAAACTACAACCAGTGACCCTTCCAAATAATCTCAGCAAAACCAAAGAAAAACCCCTCCAAACCCTTAAAGGCTTTCTATCACTCTTAGCACAAAAGCCAGACTCCATAACAACATAGCTTAAAGGCCCTTGGCTACACTTTCAACTTCTCTTTCTTTGATCATTTCTTTCACATTCTATGTTTTAGTCAGCAAAAGATTTGTTAAAAGTTGTTTTTTTTCTTTGTGTGTGTGCGTGTGGTTTTGTTGCTGTTAAGATGTTCTTCGTATTCCCTTTCACAAGGCACTCTTTTTTCCCTGAAAGACCTCCACCCCTCATTCCCATTTATCATTCTTTTTTTTATTATACTAGTTTATTTAGAAAATTCGAATACACTGTTTTTCACACCAGTTGCTTCCCATTTCCCTCACCGCACCACCCATCAAATTGCGCGACCCATGATTAATTCCTCCCCACCCCTGCACATCCTCATCCCTCTGCTTCCACCCACCTCCCTTGGATCCTCATACTCATTCTACAATCATGGTTTTATACAGTATTTGTTCTTATGGGACTGAGTTCACTCAGCATAATGCTTTCCAGTCTGTCCCGTATTAAAAGACACAGATAACTCCATTTAGAAATGATGGAGGTGACATCACAATAGAACAAGATGAAATTAAATCAATAATATCGGAACGTTATGAAAAGCTATACTCTGATAAATTCAAATACCTAGAGGAAATGGACAAATTCCTCGAAACTCATCTGGCTACCCAGATTGACAAGGACAGATAAAGAACACTTGAACAGACCCATCACAAAAGAAGAAATTGAAAAGGTCTTAAAAAAACCCCTTTCCCCATAAGAAAAGTCCTTAACCAGATGGCTTCACAGCTGCATTCTACCAAACATTCAGAGAGGATTTAGCACCAATTCTACTTAAAGTATTTAAAAAAATTGAAAAAGAAGGAACACTCCCAGAGTCATTCTATGAAGCAAGCATAACCCTAATACCAAAACCAGGCAATTACCAAGAAAGAAAACTACAGACCAATATCTCACATGCATATAGACGCAAGAATCCTTAAAATCCTAGCCAACAGAATCCAAAAGCATGTGCATTTTCTTAACTTAAATGTGAACTTGCATATGAGTAAGTGATGGTCTGTTCCACAGCCAGCACCTGGCCTGGTTTTGACTGCTGACATTGATCTTTTCCAACGTTTCCTTCCACAGCCGGACTCAATCTGATTCCTGTGCAGTCCATCAAGTGAGGTTCATGTGGACAGTCACCATTTGTGTTTCTTAAAAAAGGTATTTGTGATGAATAAGTCATCAAATAGGCAAAATTCAATCATTCAACCTCCAGTCTCAGGTCTGTCACCAAGTCCATACTTTCCAACCACCATTCCCTTCTACTTTGTTCCTATTTCCAAGAAAGAAGATTCAACAGAATGCAGAAATTATCAAACAATTTCATTAATATCTCATGTAAGCAAAATAGAGCTGAAGATCACCCAAAAATAACAGCTAGGACAGCGCTTTGAAAGAAAACTGACAGCAGTTCAAGCTGGGTTAAGAAGCAGCCATGGAACCAGCAATATCATTGCTGATGACAAATGGATCTTGACTGAAAGCAGAGAATATTAGAAGAATGTCTATTTGTGCGTTGTGGAATATGCAAAAGCATTTAACTGTGTGGACCATTACAAGCTATGGCTAACATTGAGAAGAATGGGAACCCCAGAACTCTTAGTTGTGCTCATGCAAAACATATACCTAGACAAAGAAGCTGTTGTGCAAACAGAGCAAGGGAACACTAAATGTTTTAAAGTCAAGAAAGGTGTGTACCAGGGCTGTATCCTATCTCCATATCTATTAAATATATATGTTTATAAAATCACTACAGAAGCTGGACTTTATGAACAAGAATGTGGCATTAGGATTGGAGGAAGATTTATCAATACATGTTATGCAATCCATGTTATCTTCCTTGCTGAAACTGAAGAATACTTGAAACATCTACTGTAGAATGTCAAGGACGATAGCTTTCAATATGGATTACTTCTCAACATCAAGAAGACAAAAATCCTCAACACTGAACCAAAAGAGGAAACGTCATAATAGGTGGAGAAAAGACTGAAGTTGTCAATGATTTCATCTTACTTGGATCCACAACCAACACCCTCAGTGCCAGCAGTCAGGAAATTAGATTTATTCCACTGGGAAAAACTGCATTCATGAACTCCTTCAAAGTCTTGAAGAGCAATGATGTTAGCTTAAAAACCAAGGTGCATCTAATTCAAGCCATGGTCTTTTTAATCACTTAATATGCATCTGAGAGCCGGATGATGAATAAGGATGACAGAAGATTTAATGCCTTTGAATTGTGGTGTTGGAACAGAGTACTGAATATACTATAGACTGCCAAAAGAATAAAGAAATCTGTCGTGGACAAAGTGCAGCCAAAGTGCTCCTTAGAGGCAAGGATGGAGATGCTTCATCTCAAATACTTCGACCATGTTGTTAGGAGCAGCTATTAGTTGGGAAGGGACATCATGCTTGGGAAGCTGGTGGGTCAGTCAAAGAGAGGAGACCCTTAAGGAGATGGGGTGACTCAGTGACTACAGCAATGGGCTTAAGGGTATCAGAGATGATGAGGGTGGCACAGGATAGGTAAGGTTAAGGGTCACTATGAGTCATACTTGACTCAACAGTACCTATCAATAACAGCAATACATCACAAAAGCTCCTTAATTAAGTGAAAGTGCATATAAATTCAATTAGCACAGTG